GTTGTGGCCTCTCCTGTTGCGGAGCACAGGCTCCGGACGTGCTCCGTGGCATGTGGGATCTTCCCAGACCGGGGCACAAACCCGTGTCCCCTGCATCGGCAGGCGGACTCTCAACCACTGCGCCACCAGGGAAGCCCTCCTTGCAAATTTGAATCAGATTCAGGTTCAGTCTTTTAGGTGGTGCTGGGTTCTTCTCTAAGGAGACTTAGAGTATCTGTATGTTTCCTAGCAGTCCTTTATGATCGTTGTTTTGCTCTGCATAATCCAATATGGTAGTCACATGTTGCTATTTAAATTTAAGTTAATTCAAATGAAATAATAAAAAATTCAGTGTCTTGGATGTACTGACCACATGTTCAGTACTCAACAGCCTCATGTTGCCCATGGCTACTGTATTAGGGCAGATATGGAACATTTCCATCCTTACAGGAAGTTCTATTGGACAGCACTGGTCTAGATCTATTAATTCACCAAGGGTTGTGATATGGTGCTATTCTGATTCTAACATTTATTTTACATTTTACCAGCTGGAAAACTTCTAAAAAGAGAAATTTCCCCATATCTACTATTTGCTTACCAGTGATACAGTTCATGTAGGAAAGACAGGATAGAGTTGAATACTTTCCCTTTAACGAGATTGATTCTATCAGTTATAAATAAGTAAACCATGCTTACGTCAACATTATATAATTATTGTTCACTACAGAGCCAACTAATGAATTATGGTTACACTTCCATTTTTATCTATTTTTAAAAACATTTGTTCATTTATTTACAGTTGGCTGCGTTGGGTCTTCGTTGCTGTCCGCAGGCTTTTTCTAGTTGCGGCGGGCGGGGGTTACTCTTCATTGCGGTGCGTGGGCTTCTCATTGCGGTGGCTTCTCTTATTGTGTAGCACGGGCTCTAGGCACATGGGCTTCAGTAGTTGTGGCGCACGAGCTCAGTAGTTGTGGGTCACGGGCTCTAGAGCGCAGGCTCAGTAGTTGTGGCTTGCGGGCTCTAGAGCTCAGGCTCAGTAGTTGTGACGCACGGGCTCAGTTGCCCTGCAGCATGTGGGATCTTCCCGAACCAGAGCTCGAACCCATGTCCCCTGCATTGGCAGGCAGATTCTTAACCACTGCACGGCCAAGGAAGTCCCTTTTTTATCTTTTTTTTTTTTCTCTAGAGTTTCTAAATTTCCTTCCCTTCATTACCCAATTTTATATTACCATAGTCTAAATTTTCTCCCCCAATTTTCCATCACATTTATCTTTTCTACTAAGGTGCTTTTTTCCCCTTGAGGCCTTATTCCTGGAATTCTTCTTGTTGGAACTTCTGTCTTCATTGCTCTCTGGGGTTATATATACTTTTTCCTGAATCTCATGTCTTCCTTTTTCTTGGATTACTTCAGTTGTTTGCTAAATACATCCTCCAAAAGTAACTTCCTAAAAAGAGTTTGTTGAAGGCAAAGTTTCTGAGCCATTCCATTTCTGAAAACATTTTAATTCTATTGTCATTCTTGTTTGATAATTTGTTTGGACAGAGAATTCTAATTTAAAATTTTGGACACTCATACAGAAAGTTAAGGACAAGCCTTGTTATTATTATCCCTAGTTAATTTCAGTGTCATTCCTTGTCTTCCAGTGGACAGGGGTTTCCTCCTCTGCTCTGGGTAAAAAAGATTCTGGTGTTCTGTGCAGGACTCTGTCTAAATAGGTCTCAAATAGATGATAAATTTAAGTGGATGTTCATTTCATACATAATATTTCTGAAATTTTATACAGCTTGAATGTGTAAAAAATCAAACAACAGACTTGAGGGTACGGACTGTGCTCTAAATCAGTAAGTAATGTTTCTCTCAATGCTTCTCGCAAAACCAGCCTCACTGATCTGAGAATAGAGGGTGGAAATGAGGCACTAAGAACGTTCAAAGATACTTGAGGGACTTTGTATACTCTTTTGCAGAGAGGGTAGGTTTGTTTTCCGTTAGATGAGGGATAATTGCTTCATGTTGGGGAAAGCATGATTTTTCTGTTTTTTGTTGACGTTAAGTATGGTTAAAAGGGGTATATACAGAGGCCTAGTTGATGACGCATGGACTTTGGTAGCTTTGTACTGTGCCGACTTATCTAAGATGAAGCTAAATTTCCTAGAATTCCCCTCCCTGTATGGTTATGAGTTGGTGTTGGCCACAAGAGATACTTTATATGAATTTGGAAGCCAGCAGTGAAACCGAAGTCATATTTTTCACTCTCTGAAGGTCAGTGCAGGGCTCTAGGCATTGGCCACTAGCCCAGATTGCTACTGCTGTGTTAGTTGACTTGTGGGTGTGGGGCGGCAGTGGGTCCCGTAGCCCCCCCAGTTCTCAGGGGATCTCCTCCTTGAGCTTTTCTGAATTCTGGGCTAAGTGCATATGCAGCTGGCTTCTCCTGCAGGTTGCCCATGGAATCATTTAAATTCTGTTTTATAAAAGACTCCCCCCAAGAGCATATCAGGAATATTTATCTTTAGATAATTAAATAGTCTCCAAAACAAACAAAATAATAAAGGCTCCAATTCAAGAACATAATTTTAAATTGCTTCACAGTATTCTGTTGCATAGGCATACCATAATTTATTTAACCACATCTCTTATTGTTACTATCAGACAACTTTAAGCTTTTCTTACTTAAAAAAAAAATCTAGGAGGAAGATTTTTTTGTGTGTGTGGTACACCGACCTCTCACTGTTGTGGCCTCTCCCGTTGCTGAGCACAGGCTCCAGACGCGCAGGCCCAGCGGCCATGGCTCACAGGCCCAGCTGCTCCGCGGCATGTGGGATCTTCCTGGACCGGGGCACGAACCCGTGTCCCCTGCATCGGCAGGCGGACTCTCAACCAATGTGCCACCAGGGAAGCCCAGAAGATTTTTTATTAATCCTTTTAGTCACTTTTACTGAGTAGCTACTCTGTGCCTCATCTCTGTGCAAATCCACATGGTTAAGTTTTTCTTGTGTATTGTGAGAAGGAAGGCATAAACAGGGAGGTTGCATCAATTAAAAATCTGCACAGATGTCATTTTACAAAACAACTAGGTGGTTCTAAACCTTTCTAGAAGACTTCTTGGAATGCAACATTATCAACTAATCTTTTGGAGTGCTTTTTACATTTTCCTGCCTCTAGAATAAACCTGAATTTATTGATCCATCTTACGAAGTGAAGCTTGGAAAGAATTTTCTCCAGGTTTCCAACTTCCTTTTCTCATCGAAGATAGAGTTTACCTGTAGACTCTCTGTGGCCCACAGTATGTTGAAATGAGGCAGAATTTCAATCCCTATCCTGGACCTGCTGAATCAGCATCTGCATTTCACTGTGATTCTCATACACATTAGAGTTGGAGAAGCACTGATTTAGACTTTGACAGAGCCCACACTTGACCCTGAACAACAGGGGTGAGGAGACCAGACAGGCAGTAACAGCTGTGTCAGGGACACAGGATATGTACCCAAGGACCCACTTGGACCCTTTTCACTTTACCCAAGCCCTGCCTGCACAGGAAATCGGCCACTAAAGATAGGAGTGCGGAGGAGACAGGAGGACATAGGGACGTCTGCTAGCTGTTCAGC